AAGCTTGGCTTTCATCAAATTGGTATGATTTTGTAATCGAATGGATACCATTTAGCAAATTTATAAATTTACAAGTGATTGGATTTGGAAAATTCAGTACTGTATACTCTGCAATATGGTTGGATGGGAGAAAAATAGCAAAAACAGTTGTGGGTGATAAATTAATACGTTCACGAGAAGATTCTACTGTAGTCGCACTTAAAAGTTTGTCAAATTCTCAAAATATTTCAGAAGACTTTTTGCATGAGGTAAAATTTTGCTTATATTGTTTACGTATCATTGCCATTATTTATATTAAGCATGTTATTTATTAATTTAGCTTAGAATTTATTACAAAAACTCAAATCATAGATTGTATGGCATAACTCAAAATTTTACTACGAAAGAATTTATATTAGTGACACAATTTGCAGACATGGGAAATCTTCAAGATTATTTTACTTCAAATTTTAATATGAAGTGGAAAGATAAATTAAAGCTTCTACGTAGTGTATCCGAAAATTTAGAAGCGATTCATAAAAGAGGTTATATACATGGAAATCTTCATAGTGGTAATATTTTGCAGACCAATAACAATCATTTTGGTATAATGTCATATATTTCAGACCCAGGATTAGTTCGACCAGTAAACGAATCAAGAAGCGAAAGTTGTATCTATGGAGTCTTACCCTACGTTGCGCCTGAGGTGTTACATGAGCAACAACGCACTATGACATCAGATATTTATAGTTTTGGAATCATAATGGCTGAAATATCGACCGAAAAAAGGCCATATTATAATCTTTTAGATGATGACGATGACGATGACGATAATACAAGCCTTGCGATTAAAATATGCAATGGCTTACGTCCAGAATTTGCTAAAGGGACACCTGAATGTTATATTAAATTGGCAAGCGAATGTATGAATGCTGACTCATCTAATCGACCAAGCGCAAACATTATAGTGAATAAAATAAATAGCTGGTATAATATGATGCAATTTGGTGCAAAAAGAGATCAACTTGAAATTAAAAATGCATTCAAAGCTTCGGATGAAATGAATTCAATTTTAACAAAAACCTTACAAATAAATTCACGTTACATATATTCAAATAAATTACTAAACTTCAAAGACCTTCCTAAACCTATTAATTTATATACTACAGAACCAAAAGTACCATTTAATAGCGAATTAATTGAACAATTAGATTCGAACTTTATGAATATGCAAGTTTCAGAAAATAAAAAAACATCAGATGAAATTGACGCTGAGATAATTAATGATAGAAGAAGTGAGGATTATGGAATTTGTTCAAATTGCAAGCAGTTTAACACTTCTGAAGCTTGGTGTTTACCATGTGATTCAAAAAAACTAATTAATGGATTTTCTGGTTCTGGGAACAATGCAATCGATGAATTTTTAAAGAATACATGGCGTACAACGGATGAATATCTTAGGATAATTGAATGGATTCCTTTTAAAAGATTTGGAGATATTCAGAAGATTGGCAAAGGTGGTTTCAGTACTGTATATTCTGCAATTTGGTTAGATGGAGAAAAGAAATTAGAAAGTAATGAAAATGGTTATTTTCAATCTCGAAGTCCTCCAATAAAAGTTGCTCTTAAATTCTTACACAACTCTCAATACATATCCGCTGAATTTTTGAATGAGGTAATTAATCAATTATCAAGCTATACCTATACCATTCATCATTGCTCTTACTGTTAATATTTAATTTTATTTAAGATCAAACCTCTCTATGAATGTGTAACGCATCATTTTTATGGTTTATCTCAACATCCAGAAACAAATGAATATATAATGGTTACAGAATTTGCAGATAAAGGCGATCTCAGAACATATATTGCCTCAAATTTTAAGCAATTGAAATGGGCAGATAAACTATGTATTTTAGGAGATATAGCAACTGATTTAAGTAGAATTCATGGAGAAGGATATATTCATAGAGATCTTCATAGTGGTAATATCCTTCAAAGAACAAATGATGATGGAACGCTTGAAAATATAGTTGCGACATCTGTTTCTGATCTTGGATTGGCCAGACCAGTCGACCAAACAATGCAAAACAATCGTGTATTTGGAGTACTGCCATATGTTGCTCCAGAAGTTTTGAATAAACAACCATATACACAGGCGGCAGACGTTTATAGTTTTGGTGTAATTATGTCTGAAATATCAACTGGAAAACAACCATATAGTGATATTTCACATGATTCAACTCTTGTTAATAGAATACATTTTGGCGAACGTCCTGAATTTGCTAAAGGTACCCCTGAATGCTATGTCCAATTGGCACACAAATGTATGGATGCTAATCCTTTTGAACGACCAAGTATGGATGATGTTGAACAGAAAATTCATGAATGGCGTAAATTAATGACATTTTATAATAAAATTGGTAAAATATACGAAAAGGAAGAGCTTGAAATTTTAAAAGCATTTAAGGCTGCAGATAAATTAATCCCAACTTTACCAAGAAACTTGCAAAAAGATCCACAAGCTATATACACAAGCAGATTACTTGACTTTTCAGGTAATTATTTGAGTTTGAATTTAATAATATACTTATATTAAAAATTTTACAATATAATTTAATTCTTCAGCACAAGTTACAGAAATGATCTATTTCCAAATTTAATCTTATGCAAAATATGGACGTTTATAAATCACACAATTGGTGTTCAACACTGCATATGTTTTTGGCCAACCAAAATTATAAAATTTATATTACGCAACGATCTGGTGATCTGTGATCTAAATTTTTAGAAAAACATTTCTCTAAACCCATTTATAATAAAAGTTTGATCTATGAAACTAATTTTCATGTTTAACAAAACAAATTCTCATAAAATTTTGATATCTATTTTGTAAACCAAATTCTAACTCTACTAAAGACAAAAAATTTTTGTACATGTTTATAGATTTTGTGTTAAACATTACAACAAAGTATATATATAATTTTTAAAGCATATACTTGATAAATCATTTATTATCAAGTATTTGTTAATTTTTATATATTGAATTATTGGCAATTATTTTAAATCAAAAAATGTAATTTTGAATAATTTTTTAAAATTTAGTACGTTAATTAATTTTTATTATACGTATAATAGTTTATTTTTAAATTAAAAATACAGTAGATTATAAGTTCAGACTAATTTTTAAAACTTCATGATTAATTTTTTTTGATATTATGATCAACGCTTAAGGTTATAACTTTAGTATAGTTATTAACTATGGATAGAGCCAATGTTTCGTAATAGATAATTAGAATTTTACTAATTGTATAAGCTGTCCGATAATTAGTTCATACAATTCATGTCATGTTTTGCAAATCGTTATTGGCTAATTTACCTAGAAATTTTCCTTAGCAGTATTCATATATATTATTCTAACCCTATTGAAATAAGACAGATTGCGTGAAGCGCACTTATCGTGCTAGTGCACATTTACGGTAATAGAAGACGTCCTATAAGAAATTCTGTTGCTAATCTAATAAATTCAACCAACCATGATCGTCTTACATCCAAAATTTGAAACTTTGAATTAAGGTAATCAAAATCTTAAAAGTTTTTTTAAAATAAAAATAATTGTCTTAAATTTTTTAAAAAAAAATTTGACTAAAAAAATTTTAATTTAAAAAAATCTTGTCGTATTTATTTTGCTTAAATTAAGTGCCTAATCAAGATCTAATTTTAGGGATAAATCTCGATCAGGCGTGACTTCAGTGCCTAAGTTGCACTTCCTGATAAGTGACACAATATATTCTATATAAGCAAGTTATTTGCTAAAAGTGTTACATTTAGTTCAACGAAATTCCATATAATTTCTAATGTATAAAATGTCAAATAGAGAAGACACTAAATTATTAGAAAAACTTAGGTAACCAATGCTTTTAATCAACTCGATATTGTTGAATGTCAAAATTCAGCCGATAAAAATAATCCAGATGTGGTATATTCTGACGTGGTTATTGTTACGAACATGGGATTGAAGTGGAAAATAATAAGGCATTCGTTTATTGCCAAAAGTCTGCAGAGATGAATAATCCTAATGGAATATGTCAAGTTGGTTATTGTTATTATATAGGAATTTGAATTGAAATAGTTAAGCATAAAGCATTTGACCATTACTTGAAGTTACAGATACGGAATTGATGTGAACAGAATTTTTACAAATATAAAGAATGGATTAACAAGTAAGTTATTTGTTAATATTAATTAATATATACAATTTTAAAATTAGAAACTAATTTTTTTTAGAGAGTAAGTATAAATATCAATTATATTAGATATAAAAATCAATAGCTTATAATTGCTGTTCCTGAAATTGTTGTTGCTGTTTCTGCGGTTATTTATTTTAAATAATATAATCAAATTAGGGTTAAAAATGTACTAGCAAACACACCTCAGGAGTACTAAGTAAAAATGTTCAGAACCCAAAAATAATATCTAATCCTACTTCAGCTAAATTTACACCCTAACCCTTAATTTTAATAATAATGAAGGGAGAAATTCCTCTCCGGTTAAATGTAGTTATTTTCTTTTTAGATATTCAGAATAATAAATTATTTTTATACTTACGGACTAGACCCAAGTAAATAAAATTCAATGAAACTATAGTTTAAATAGCTATTTTGTTAAATTTATAAAATCACAAATCTGGAAATCTAAAAACTTTTTATAATATAGTATATTAGATATATATTGATATATATTTAATACTAATAAAAAAAGTTATATACAAAATATTTATCAGATCAAGATTGTATTAATATATTACTATATTTATTGTCAGGATGATGCTGAAACAAGATGATGCTAAAACGTGGGGTCTCAATTTAGAAATATAAGCTTTGCTAAAACCTATCTATACTTTTGTATTATAAAACATTAACTCTAAACTCCAACTTAACTACAAAACAAGGCTAAAAAAATATTTTTCAAAAATTTTAAAATTCTATATAAAATAAGTCAATGTTTTAGCATCATCTTTAACATTTATTATTACTATAATTACTTGTATTATTATTTAACTAAAAGTTAAATTATCATATGTATTTAAACCTCAAAAAAGTTTGATTTTGCTAAGCACTAGTTTCAAGTTATTAATATTTTATAAAAAAATATAATTTTTATATTATTTTAAATCCAGAAATCTTATTACCATTACTTACTACAAAAAGCTAATTGATATATATCTTTCATAGTTATACTAAAAAATATATAAATAAAACAAGTTAATAAAAATACAATAAGCCTATTAGTTATAGAGAAAATAAAAATATAAAAAGCTAATACTGCAATTTGATTAATTAATGATTTGGATTTACATCTTTGTACTATCTATGTACAGTTTTTAGAAATAGTTTAAAAATCTAAAAAATTATATATTTAAATAATTTTTATATACAAAACTCTAATAATTGTCAAAAAATAGTTTGGCAAATTTTTTTTAAAAATTATTAATAAAATTATTGAGAAAAAATTTTTTTTAAAAAAATAAAATTTCTTAAAATTTGCTATACTACAGGT